GAGAGAAAGGCTCACATTGCACAGTCGTGGTACAGGTGTTGAAATGTTCCTTAAAACTGCTGAAAGCTCTTACAAGCAGAGTCGAAGGTAAGTCCAAGACTTGTGTGATGCCCTACAGAACTTTCTGATACTGTGACAGCAATGAGATAAAGCGGTCACAGTGAGTTGGGATTGCACTCAAGGAGATGATTAAGTTTAGAAAAGCATGTATTGCTTTTAGGGATTTATGTTGCTGAGCACTGGTAGGAATATCTTCAGATACAGTGACCAGATTGCTCAGGTTTACATGCAATGTGCAGAAACATATTTAAGGCTGTAGGTCACTAAGTCTACACCAAGGACAACATCCAAAATGCCTCTTCTCTCACTTGTTATTGTGTCTTTAACAAAGCCCACAGCAGACATCCTGGTTTTCCACTCTCTGATTTCTCTGATGGATAATGGCCCATCAGTGGACACCTGATGCTTTTAACTTCTAAATCAGCCCTGGATACCAGCCACAAATTGGAACATCTGCATAGGTACATCTGGTCCTGTGCAGCTGAGCACACTGGACATTCTCCAGTTCCCTTCTTTAAGAACATCTCTCATGGAATGGAAGCCTGAAGCTGTTAATTTTCAAATAGTTTAGGAACTAAAGTGGTCAGATTTTGGTATCTAAAAACTGCCTTTCAGTCAAACTACTGAGCTACTGCAAATGACTTGCACATGACTTAATCAGCATCCTCTTGTATAAACAAACTGGGGGAAAGAATAAGAGAAAGTAAAGCAACTTATTCCCACCAACTATAGAGAAGACAACTGAGAATGCCGCAAGGATGAGGTTTTTTTTCATTTCTTAAAATAAAGAGAAGTGGAACTCCACTATGAATCACACTTTATTGAAAACAGTAAAAAAACCATAATAATCTTCCTACCAAACATTCAGTGTAACACTTCAAACAAAGGAAAAAAAAATACAACATATTACCACTGCTTTTCACAAAACATTCAACCTGGTGAACGCGGTGAGTAGTTTGGTTTGGTTTGTAACACAGCAAAGTATCCACAACTGAGAACATGATAAGACATATGTTGGGATGACCTAAAATAAAGCGGTAAGGGTTTGGTGGGGGAAAGGTATGTCCACAGAAAACTGTTCTGATTAAAGTAACACCGAAAGTGTAATTTTTCAGCTGTATTTTCCCTTGGTCAAAGATACATCCAACTGAAAGAAACATGAGCTGCTCAAGACCAAAAGTCTTAAGTGCAAATCGGACCAAGAGGGAAGCACTGACTCCGCTCAGCATCACTCAGCCTCACATGCATCGAGATTGTGCATAACTGTGTTACTTTTTTTTTTGTAAACTGAAATCTTAACCAGTCACTCTGCTGTGAAAAACCTGGAAGTGCAGGACAGGAGATCCCTGCTGCTGTTATTACAGCAGCAGCACAACACCCACAGACACGCCAGTCCAGAGCATGGTCACACCACCCAAATCTGTGTGGAGCTGATCCCATGCGATGAGATGGCCAGCAGCATTCAGAGCATTCAGTCTCCTTGGTGGGAATTTTGAGACACATAGCTTCCTGAAGACAACAGCAAGATGCATTTTCTGCTTAGGTAGCGCAGCACTGGGTTACTAACCCCACCAAGAAGTAAAGGAAATCTAGCCATGGTTTTTGTGCACAAGCATGCATTTCATAAACTTGAAGATTTCAAATCCATGACCAAAGTATACCTTCACTTTCTATTCATTTTTAACACAATAGAAGTCAGGCCAAATAAGACAAAAATACTTTGAAACCTATTTTTTAAAGATTAGAAGTGGATCAACTTTGTTACATAAAGCCAGGAATGAGAAAAAGTTACTCGCAGAGATTTTGTGATTCTAAGTGTTTCAGCTCAGACTGGGAAACTTATGGTTAAGGAGAAAATGGAAGTCAGGCATCAGTTAATTTTATCTGCATGCACAAAATTCATGAAGATATGTCCATCACTACTCTTTTCTGAACAATAATTTCACGTGGAAAGAGATGCCCAAATCACGCTCGAGCACAGGCGAAACACAAAAGGTACAGAAAACATGTGAATAGTGTCACATCGTACCTCAGCACTGTGCAAAATCTGACCAAACACGAGAGTTATGTGCTGCTGACACACCAGAACAGTGTGTCTCCCATCTCCAGCCAAGCAAGGCAGGTCAAGAGCTGTAGTCCCGCTCTACAAAGTACAAGGTAACTGAGGAGCAGGCCCATAGAACTGCTCCAGAGTAACAGCCATCATACAGGCACACATAGGCAGTACTAGCACATCACACTCTGAGAACTGGGCTGGTTGCCTTGCACTGCTGAAGATTAAAAGCACATACTTATGTGCAATGACGAAACCATTTTCATCTCCCTCCTAATTCAAACTTAGATGAGCTCTTGGTAACTTGTTAGAAAACCCACTCTAATGACATGATTGTTTTAGTGAAATCTAGTGGTAAAAAAAGAGACCAAGTACAAGCAAATTAATAAATACTAACATCTTCATCATGGAAGAACATTTCTAACTAAGGAATGTCTCTGTATGGACTCTGTGGGAAAAGAAATACATTAAAATCCAAGCAAATGCCCCTATACTTCAGTAGCTGGTATCTACGGAAGACACAAGGAATGCAAAACAAAGCCCTGTTCATTAAAGGAGCTTCATCCAGTGATACCGACTATAAAACTTAATGGAATGCGGGTGGAAGCAACACCAACACTTGAGGTTAATGTACAACAAACATTTAGAAGCAATGCAGAAGCAGTATTCCAAAGTGCTCATCAGGTACAAAGGAACAGGCAGGTATATCACCAGTACCCTGTCAAGCCTTAAAGAACTGGGATTTCCTGATTTCTATGCTGATGTAAGACCTTCATACAGACACAGCTTTTAAATAGCCTACAATTAGGCAGGTCAGGATTGTCAACATTTACAGGATATTCCTGATGCTATCCTTTTGACTGTTTGAAGTCACCTCCTGTATTTGTTAGAACATTTAATGTTATGTATATTTAAACAAAACAAACAAACAATAAGCAATAAATGCAACTGAAAAAGTTACTTAGAAAAATGTGGTAACTAACACAGAACTAGCAAGCATCCTCAGGTTCTCTGCTGCCAAGACAGAGCTATTCTCAAAAGCTCACAGGCTTCTATAAAGTCAAGGATACTGCTGCACTCTGAATCACAGAATGGATTTTAAGAACCTATTAAGTGTGTTAGCGAATTACTGGCATTTTAGAGAACATTGAATTAATTTTCCTATCTTAATGATACATGTCTTCTTTCTCTTGGAAATAAGAGGTTTGGGTGCTTCAATTGTGAAACATTTCAAAAAAGCTTCCCACTTGAAGTGGTCTTCTCACGCATCCTACATCAGATCTATGTAAATTCTTCTTGGTCTGGTATTTCATGTTTTGTCTAGATCAAGACCTGCTCTTAACATCAAAGCCACCCAATAACACACCGAATGACTTGAACACATAAAAGAGGAAAGCAAGCAAAGATGTTAGACATCCTGAAGAACTGGGGCCAGGCTGAGAAAAAGTTTCATCAGCTACTGAATTTCACGAACTTAAGGATTTTAAGTGTATCTTTAATGGAATTGTAAAGCTTGACTATAAAAAGAATGGAAAAAAGACTGTCTATACAAATGAGCTCCATCTCATTTGCCCCCTCACATCTCTCCCCGAAATGGCCTGCACAGAAACTTACACCCAGAAAGTCTGCAATGGCTTTTCAGTCCCAGCAAAAATGAGCTGAAAGCAGAAAGTTCAAGCACATGCATGTCTACCACCTGGGAATCCTGGGAGCCTGTAATCCCCAAAGTAACCCAATTCAGCAGCTAGACCTACATGTGGCAGACGGAGAAGCCACGGGATGGATGTCCTCACACCCTGAACAGAAAAAGAGCATCGCAACTTCTAACAACGTCAGAGACCAGTTGCCAGAAGTAAGAGCGCTGGGCAAGGCAGAGAAAGGAGGCAGAGGTTATCACCACCTGGGTGAGGGCCAGTAGATTAGACTGCTCCCCCTGAATGGGATGAATTCCAAAGCAGTATTTTTGTAAAGTTCAAAAGCTCTTAATGAGACTGAAATAACTTGCCAGTTACCAATAGTAAATCCAATATTCAAGAGCTCAAGACTTCAGCTCCTGAAACATATGGGCTGGGGAGGGAACTTAGTGTATGGAATACTGTCTTAAGTCAGCACTAAAAGACACTAAAAAAAAAAAAAGCCCAAAAACCCACTAACACCAGAGGGCAGGGGATTTTACTTCCTTAAAGTCTTTAAGGATCACATCAATGCTTTTTTCTTTTTTAACTAAACTAAGCCCATTTCCTTTTAAAGAGGTTATTAACATGGCCTTAGTGTATTGTTTCTGCTCCAGTGACTTCACCAAGATTTTAAAAATTGCTATTTTAAAAATTAGAATGTATGTGAAAGCAAAAGGATTTAACTGTCTTCCTGGATTTGGTGTTTCAAAATGAGAGATGCCAGTCCACTGAGCATAAGGCTCCGTTGCTGTATATATGTACACCACCTGAGCCCACCCACTTCTGGAAGGAGAGAATAAAAGAAAGCAAAATAACCTATAACATTCTTAGAAAATTCAAGGAAAGTCACATGCTTGAAGGTGCCAATTGTTCTTTGTTTCTACCTTATTCCTTTCTAATTTAGATTGCAGATTCTTTTTAGAGAAGGGCCATCTTGCCTTTACTACACGGCACTGGGCACATGTGAAGCTGCTGCAGAGCTGTAAGAGCAAGCAGCAGAGTTCTGGTGGGACATGAGGGCTGCAGCCCCTTCGCTCTCATCACTCCTGGTGATAGACTGGAGAAGAGGCACTCCACAGCATCCTCTCATGTGCTCACCCCATCAAGCACAGGGCTGCACAAGCTCTGTCTGCATGGGCTGGACCAGACCACAGCACACAACCATTCCTCTGCAGTACTTGAGGGGGTACTTTGGAACCAGGCAAGAAAAGCAACTTGTCAAATCCTTTAATTTCTGTCACACTAAGAGTCAACAGGGTAAAAGGTATCAGAGGAACACAGCCAAAGATAAACACCACATTACAGACAGTAAACAAAGCTTCCTATGACTGCAAAAAAACTGTTACTTGTACAGTAACCAATACTATTATTTTTTAGCTTAAAGTGATAAGCATGTGTGCTTTATGCTTAGAAATCCCACACTTAAAGAGTTCTACCACTGCATTTAATATTGTGCTACCAACATGGAATAAAACCAAGAAACGGCTAACTTAAAACACTTCAGTTTACATCTATTTTTTGGTCTTGTGTGGTATCTAGTTGAAGATGGAAGCATTTATGTGCTTTGTGCCTCATAAGAAATGAGGCAGATGTTAATGTTACTAAGATCAGCTGTATATACCTTGAAGGTATAGACCACCTGACTCTACATGAGTCAAAATACTAGGAATGTATCGTCAACATCCATTAATGAATTACCAGTTGCTTGTATTTAAGTGACCATATGCTTCTGTGAAAAGTATACAGTGATCTGTATCTTACACATAGTATATTTGTAGCATTTTACCTGTAAAGAAGCTGTGCATAAGCATGCCATTTTTCCAGGCAGAAGGCGTATTTAAATGTGGACAGTGTCACAATACGAACAGTTGGTTTTAAAACAAAACACTGTCAGTAGTTGCACAGGGTATTTCTGAATTACTTGAAACCACACAGCATCTAAACCACCCTTTAGGTTTCAGTGTAATCTTTACTAACATAGCCTTAACCCACACATCTCTACTATTGCATAAACCAGCAGAAGGGGTGGAAAGGCAAGGCTGTAATGTTTGTTTTGAAAGAGAGTTTTGAATTCTTGCCTGAAACTGTGTTTCTCAGCAGGAACTGTCTCTGCTCTAAGTAACTGCCCAACTCACCTTCAAAAACCACACACACCTCAATCTCATCTTTTCCTGTGTTCTTGGGTCACTGATGCCACGACAAACATCTCTCCAAAAGCACCTAAGAGCAAGACTTATGCTGGTTCATACTCCCTAAATTTATTCCTTAATTTCCTCAGTTCCACAGACTGTATTTATATAACTGTCTTAAAAGTTGTCACAGAAATGTTTTAATAATGCTAACTAGCCTCACACACCACAATTCATCAGCCCTGGTAAGACACAAGGACAATTTTGGTCACACAATCCCTTGCATGGACAAGTGGATATATTTCAGTTATTTTTAACTATAATGCTAATACGTAAGGCTACAAGCTCTGAGGATACCTGAATGCTGCCCCTAAAAAATAGATCTCCCAATATTTTAAATGTAAACACATTTTAAAACAACTTTTAATTACAGCTCCCTGTTCTTAGTTGCAGAACTTCAACTCAAAGATTCCTCGCTAATGTCAGCATTAAACTCAAACAACAGAAAAGATGCTTGTAAATCTCAATGAAATCAAGCAAGTTTTACTTTGTCTTCCAAGACTCAGTACAACACATCAATAGTCAGTTTGGTAAGCCTTGAATTTATACTAATCACACATACACAAAAAATAACTCTCTAGCATCGTATTTACTACAGAAATATTTACATTGTGCCCCAGTATGAGTCAGAAAAGGCAGCTGCAAAAATGAGAAACCCTCATATATACTGGAGCTTGATTTTTGAAGCACTCTAGGGAATAAAAAAAAGAAAAGCTCACATTCACACACCCTCAGCAGTAAGTTCTACAGCCCAGAGCAGTCACCTCAGGGAAACAGCCAAAGGGTTTCTGACACAAGGTTGATCTTATTTCGGAACCACACTGGAGAGCTAGTCATCACCACCTCACCACGCGTAAGACCTCAGGCTACAGACATACTTGTTTTACGGAAATGGGAAATCAACAGGAACGGTATCTGCCTTGCTACACTGAAGGTGTCCCCATTCCAACCTGTTTATAAAGATAACCTGTGGCAGAGCAGGACAAAAGTGTAACCAGATTTTGAATACTTATTTGTGTTTTGGTTGGTGAACTTTTTTCTTTAATATAAACTGCTTGAGGAATTCCTAAGGCTGCAGTAATGCTAAGAAAAGGGATGTAACCACCTACCAACACCATCCTGAATCTAAGGCCTCTGAGCAGTTAAGCTGTAACACTGCAGAAATTCAAATACCAAGATTAAACACACAAGTTTTACTTACCAAGCCACCTACGCTATCTCTAGAAGCTTAGAATTTAATTTATGATATCTACACATATAGGCCTATATACATGTTCATGTGTACATTAAAAAAAACAGGCTACTGAAACATACTGCATTACGCCACTGAACAGAAATCCTGGTAACTACAGTATAAATTCAGAGAAATAATTTACTTCAAATGAAAGAAGACTGTAAAAAACTGCAACGCAGCCTCCTAGGCCTGTGCTACTTGCATTGATTACAAGTACTGCTTATACACAGTAGTTCATAAAGAATTTTACAGGGATGTACTTGGTAGGGAAGTGACCTCCCTGGCATGACAGCTCACAGAACTGTAAGAGCTGTGACAGGGGGTCTACACAGCTTTTTACAAAGCATACTTGGCTCAGATTTAACACTGAAGTTAATTTTCATCTTGTACTTTAATAAGACATTGTCTGACTACCAGTAAAGCAACCTGGTGTTTCTAGCTAAGAACAGAAAGCTGAAAACGCTGGCCTTCCAAGAAAGCTCCGTGACATTTGGCTGTGAACAGCCTGCTGTATCCAGCATGAAAGGACTGTGATCTCTATACATTACTGCTATTTTTAACATGTTCTTAGTGGAACTGTTTATCTACTGCCAAGGATATCTACTCCAGGTAGTTTACGTTTCCAGTAAGGGTCATAGTGGGCTCGAAGCGTACCCTTTTTGCTGCTGTTTTTTTTTAACCAAGTCCCAGAGTTATTCGCTATAGCTGTGTCTGTATAACACAGGAGGTACTACACATTCAAATGGTACCAGGTTTGTTCTAAAGATGTGAGACTTTCAACAAATATAAAGGAATGAATTATTCTCTTCAGCTTCCAGTCTTCAAGGCACCTCCTGCATTAACTTACCAGGAAATAAACAAGCAGACCAAAAGTTCACTGGAAAGAGAAGAATCTGATATACCTAACGTTCTCAGAAGCACACAGCAACAAAGAATGAGACTTAGGTTGGACCCAAATTATCAACAAATAAAAACCAATATAAAAATGCTGATGAGATGACAGGAATGCCATGAGGTTGATGTTTTCGGCTTTGTTGATTGCAGGCGATTGTTAATCACAGTGTTTTCTGATGCCCATTTGCAGATGGCTTTGTCTCCAAGTCTCTTGGATTATTTGATAGATGAAGTTTATCTAATCCTGTAAAACATTGCACAATGAGAAAAAACTGATTCTCCCATGCTTCATGCAGACAGGTATTCAGAAGAATGCATACAAACCAAATTCTACTTTGTGATAAGGACTTCCGTTAAAGACCAGAACAGATTATAGCTCTGGTAAGAATTACTTCTGGGATATGCCCTCAATTGCATTTTAAGTGAAAAAAGTCCATCACAACAGACAACCATAGGAGGGAGAGAGGCCTAACTTCACATTGCTTAAATCTGATGTTCAGAACTGAGAAAGACTTACAATACTCTACTCTGTCAATTTACAAAGAACAACATAATTACCTAAGAATATTTCTTTTAAAGTAAAGCTGCTTTCTGAAGAGCATCCACTCATCTTCAGATCACTGGTGATGACCTCATTTCTCCAACCTGTTTATATGTCTAATAATATTTTTAGGCCTACATTATTATCTCTATTTCCAGCCATTTATTCTTATTACATCATTCTCTACTACAAGCGCTAATTAAGGTCTCCCATCCTGCCCCAGGAAAAGTAGTTAAACTGCTCTTTTTTTTGAAGGAAGGTGGGGAAAAATGGCACATTCAGCCATTATCTACAAGAGGCATAATGTCAGTCCTTCCTTGCTTGCTACGGTTTCTCTCTGAAGTCTCCTATCAAGTCTCTAAGGATCAAAAATGGAAAGAGCTTCTTACTCATTTAGCATAGACCATATAGAACATCTTGCTGAAGTACCATAATGTACCAAGCCAAATTTCTTGCATCACTGCAATTCCAAAATTGACTGCACTACTCAAAACAAACAAACAAAACTCCTCAGTATTGTATTACTTGTAAGTCCCAATATTACATGAACTCTTTTGGTCACAGGTCTACAGCAGGATGTTTACTTCCAATTAGCTATGACATTCCACCAACCTCTACCCCTCAGCATCACAGTTCCCGATATATGGGAGAAATAAGAACACAAATTTTGGTTCTCATTCTTCGAGTTCCATGTGACATTCTTTAATAGACACTGTTTGTTATGCACAGCACTGAAAACAAACCCAGTTTGTGTCAGGAAACCTGCACTCTTCAGGATTTATAACTTCCTGCTTATGTCAAATGTAAACCTTTTACCAATTACTTTTCCATTTTGATCACAATATTTACACAAAATCACGTGTAAAAATATGCGACAGCAAGTGGCCAAAAACACCCCTAAAAAATCCCTTAGAGTGGTGCTATCCAGTAACAATTATCCTACTACATCTGCACACTGAAGTTTGTTAATTTGCCTAGATTTTTTAACTAAACACTGTATATTTAATACAGTTATGTGCCATGAATTATCAAGATAAACCTTTTAAATCATTTGCTTTAAGAAAGAAACTTTAAAGTTTTACCAGACCTGTTGCTATAAGCCCATGCTGACTGATGTTAATTTATTTCCTTCAGAGCTCTGTAACAGCCATGACATTATACAAAGTAATCCTTTTACAGTCAAAACAGTTTTCCCCCCCAAAAAATTAGGATTAGGCAAGTCAACTGAAAGAGATGAATCAAGGTCTTCTCATAAAATAACCTTAACTAAAAGCTGGGGGATAATGTCACATACATCATACTTGCATCATGTATCTGTCTCAATCAACAATGGAACTTCTCTGAAAACACTTTTGGCATAAAAATCAATGGAGAGATTTACACAGCCCTGGTCCACTAATCCATTCCCCTGGAGCTTCAAAACTCAACAAAAATCACGGAACAGCTTGTTTTAGTCCTACGCTATCAGTCATTTTGTATTTCCCTATTTAGTAGGTCTGATTTTAACTTAATTGCCACCGGTAGAAGTGCACTCTAGGAAAATGCTTGGATTTTGTTTACCAGGGTCGCAACTGTGGAAAGCAGTAACTGGTGAAAACGAACAAACTAACATTTTAGACACTACAAACTGAATCCACAGCTATAAATAACACTGAAGTTTCACCATTAGTCATTTCAATTTCAGCAAATACTATTCCAGGGTTCTATAGAGGTAGGAGATTCATTAATCACCAAAGATAAGATCTAGTAAAATCATGATTGCTAAATATGTACATTTTAGCCTCTTAATATAAAATATGTTTCAAGTTTTCTTCTATGAAAAAAAAAATAAATGCGCAATTTGATCTAAATTTTCATGATATCAAGCACAGGTTTTACTCAATCAGTTACTAGGATTCTGTATATTCTGTAGAAAGATTTTCTGAACAGGTAGTGCTCAAAAAAGGCACCACAACAAGGCAGCTTAGACTGCCACTAAACTATTTTTAGGGAATAAATTGCTTTAAACACAAAAGAAAACAGCAAACCCACACATAAGTGGAAGCTGCATTTGCAAATCATTCCTAGGTAGCAACTGGAATGTTTCTGTGCTCTCTAAGTCTGATAATCTAACTGCAGACCAGGAAGTATATGGGCACATCATTAATATCAACACTGTACATTAGCTCTCAACTCTAAAAAAATACCACAAAGCTGTGCATTCTCACACCTTAACTTCCAGAAATGTCCACGAAAAGAAACTTCTGTCAGTTGTCACAGAAACTTACCAGTAGCACATCAAGGTATCAAACACTGGAAAAAGGAAAAGTTCAAGTACAAACTACATTTTCAATGCTGTATTACCTAATGCCTTCAGGAGCTCTTCTCGCACAGCAGAAGTGAACTTTCTGACCAGACATAATGTTGTCATGATAGCAAAGAGCAAGTTGTAAGATAATACAATATAGAAGTTTCCCAGCCAGTTAAACCTTCCGAAGTCTCCAAGCAGATCAAATCTGGTGATTCCTGTTAAAATCGCATTTAAGGTTCACATCAAAGTTTTTATCACATTGTTTAAGAAACACAAAAACATCATTGTTACATTTTTTACATATGGAAGCAAAATTCAGACAACACACTACTTACAGCAGACACATGGTTGAACACAAAAGACAATGTTCTCAAGGTCATTTTCCATTTCATTGACCAATATAAAACTGTAAGACACACTTATCAAAGTGTTTAAGAATTCCTAGTGAAATGCTTGAACAATGTGATTTTAAGTGAGCTGTCTATTTAGATAAGAATTCTGCTTCTTTAACTTCAGTAAATATAACTCGAAGAGAAAAATAACAGTATTAATATAAAAACTGCTTGAAATCTCAGTTCCTATGAAATCCATACCTATTCCAGAAAAGGATGAAATGCATCACAGGCTGTCTTTATTAAAAATACAGGTAGCAAAAAGCCTTTCCATTAGAGCCACAACATCTTACAGCAAACACTGTCTTTGTAAGAGGTGGTTTTTTTTGGAGCCACTGCTTTTGAAATCAAAGTTCAAAGACATCCTTCCAACTGCAGTTTTTCTCCTAGACCTACCCACCACTACAGCCACTGAGCATTTACACAGAAGGAAAAGAGTTTGGCTGAAAGATAGTGCTGACAGGTGTTCACAGTGGACCTCATAACACTGATGCCTGCGCTTTAGTGCTGATCAAAGGCTAGTCAATCACTACAGCTAAGTGAGCAAAATTCTTCCAAAACGTGGAAGTGTTTATGAGCTGCAGGGTGCATCCCAGAAGGCAGAAGAGGAAGAGCCATCAGCTGTTCCTCTGTTAGGCCTACATCAGGACTGTACTGAATAAAGGGCAGAATATTGAGATGATACCCCAACAACAGCTGTCTAGGATTGATGAGCCACTATATTCCCCAAACAGATCTGCACAGACGATGTTGATGCGTGCTCTCACAGTTGAGACCACCAGTGAAAAGGAAGGAAGCTTTCCTCACCAAAGAGCTGAAATGGCAGCAGAAAACTAGGCAATCAGAAAACAACCTGGCTCAGAAATTCCTGGAAGCGAGTTTCCTATCATCCTATTTTGAAAAGGTCTGGGGGCTTTGAAGAGCCATGACTTAAACAGTGATAATAAATGAAGAAAGGCAGAACTAAGGGTCAGTTATCCTCCTCTCAAGGGTAAACCTGGCACTTCTGAATCTCATTGTACCTTGATACTCAAGACTTACAGCCAGCTATCACAATAGTAAGAGATACAAACGCTCCTTGTACCCAGCATCAGTCATTTATATTAAGAACATGGGGATCAAATTTGACATCCAAGAAAAACATGTTAAAAATTAAGAAAATGAAAAGCAGGATAAAGAAAAAGAAAAATGTCACTGAAGCTGATCAAATTAGCAAGAGAAGCAGAGAGAAATATCAAAAAAGCACAGAAGGTCTTAGCACAAAATGAAGAAACCAGCTGACTGAATTAACTGGTAAACGGATGAAGGACAATAAACACAAAGCTGCTTTCACACTTGAAGGCAAACACTGTCCTTAACATTCTCAAAAGCAGCCATGTTTTCATCAGACTGTAGAGATACAGGAAAATTGAGAAAGTCAAGTTTGAATGTAGAGCCTTCCAGATCCTTAAAGGAAAAGAAACAAAACAGGTAGAGCACTGGGTGAAGAGTTCTCTGGAAAAGAAAGAATACTCCTTGCCACAATGAGGTTCAAAAGAGTATCTAGCAATAGAGCAGGCATTGTAAAGGACAAACAAAAAATGAAGCCTGACACTTCTATTAGAACATGTGGGAAAAATATTGCTCATTAATTACATTTTTCTCTTGAAATAAAGTCACTGCTCATTAGAAAAGATCTGACAGTATCATTTTGTGCATCTGCGGGAAAAAAGAATTAAAAAGCTTTCAGTGACTTTCTGATAGAAGTATCTATGCAGCCCACAGAGAAAAGAATTTGCAAGACTGCAATCTGAAAAATTATCAGTAGCTGAACAGAAAGCAAAAGCTCTAGTGGACACAAATAGATACCCAAGAAAGCTGGCATTAGTTTGCCAAAAACTATTAAAGAATTATTTAGGTTAAAAAAAACCCCAAAGAACAACTATGTTTTTAGATTTTACATGCAAATAAGTTCAAAAATCACTATTTACTTAAACCATAATACTTGAGTGGAATTCTGGGAAAACTTTGTATATTAGAAATTTCAGTTTTGTTTGCACAACTCTTTGTTTCTGTTTTCTGTAAAGTGCCCTGCTTCCAGTTTGTTTCTCAGTGTTTAGCAATATGGTGCTGGTGTGAAACATTTTTGAAGGAGGACTATTAAAAGGCTAAAAAAGGTGTTAACTTATTTCAGTAAAAAACTTTCCTGGAGTTCTATGAGAATTATTAGAGACCTACACCATCTACATATCCAATATGAATGTTATGTAAAACTTGCAAACTTGTACAAAATTCTAGTCCCATTTTTAAAACTTGAAAAACGTCAGTACACGTGTTAGATAACTTCTGCTTTTTTACCCTTCCCATAATGAAGAAGTCTAATCTTTCCCATATAGTCTAGAAACTTGCTTTTTTAATAAAGTGAAAAGGTTATGAATCTGCTTAACATATTTATTTCTTTTCATCTATTCAATGCCACAGGGCGGTAGCATGTAGTGCAACGCACTGATATTTTTGCAAAGCGCCACATGACTCACTGTACCCTAATACACTCTATTAATCCTGTTTGGACAGCTGTGACTGTGCATTTGTTAGCTGTGTGTTAATTGTTCCATCTTTTTTCCTCTTTTTATTTATCTCTATGGCAAACTATTCAGGAATTTCATTTGTTAGTCTTTTTTCCAAGTGAGTTTTACAATTAATCTGTTTCCTATGAGACAACAATGCACCCAGCATGTATACTTACTTCCACAGAATCCATTTATTATCAACTGTTAATCTCACAGATCATTAACAATTATTTCTCTTTAAACAAGGCATGAATGCAGTAACTTAGTGGATACGATACTAATGTTAAATTCTGTTCTAAATCACTAATTTTTCAACATGGAATCTTGCTCTTAAGTGCTAGAATTTTTTTACTTGTAAGAACTTTATCGTACTGGCTATACTTTAAAAATGCACTATTTTAAGTATTAGAATTGCCCTTTTGCATTTGTGAAGCTTTCCTACAGATTTTTAAAACATGAGCTCTGTAACGTGTATTTTCAGATTCAACCCTCCAAAGCACGTTAGAGATGGGGTCTTTGTTTGTTATAGAAATGATCTAGTAAATCTAATAAAACTCATCTATAGACATATACAGCATGAAGACATACAGTATGACTTACCAGAAAATATTAACTACTCTTGATTTGACAGTATTCTGGTTGAAAATAAGATGAACTACAGAACTACATGGTACACATTACTGATCTGTGCACTTAAACTGACCTGAGCTTAAACTCCTAAGCTTGTACTAAAGATTCATATAGCCTGTTGTGTAGATTATTGTTTTATTTCATTCACTGTTCCAAATGAAGTGCACATTACCTGAAGGTATTCTATACTACTTAAACATGTGACAGGCTTGCAACCTAACTTCAAGAAATCAAGTTGAAGATTACCTAACTAAACAAAGTGAAGATACAAAGCACCTTGTCTTACCAAACAGTTAAAACAGTTTTTCCACTTCAAATGCTATTGCCAGTTCTTAGCTATAAAATCAGAACTTCTTCAGCTCTACTATGCTGGACTCCAAATTTTTATATTTGAGAACTGAAGTAACAAAGAATGCAAGCAGGTTATTTTAAGAAGAATTAAAGTAGCCTAGTATCATTGTTTAGGGTTTTTTTCCCCATGAAAACTGAGTACTATAATGTCACAGTGAACATGAAACTATTTTATACTGCCTTAATCAAGCAGTTGACATATCTGCTTTTCCCACCAGAAGTTTAAAAACCTACCTACCTTTTTAAAAGAGTATATTCTGTAAAAAATGTTCAGCATCTTTTTTTAGAATGTATATACTGCAGTTTATATATGTAAAATGCATGTTCAACAGCTCATGTTGGTGTAGAAAAGGCCACACATACATGACCTTTCTATGGGTTTTTCTTTGGTTTTGTTAGTGCTATTAAACATCCTTTATTACAAGGTGTTGTACTTCTACTTCACTTACCCAATGTTCTTGACATCACTGGCAAAGCAGAGCTCAGCACCAAGATTGAGACACAGTTTCCAATGATCTGTTTAAAAATGACAGACATTTAAATTAGCTATGGGACTGCTGAAGAAACACAGTGGTCAAGATGAGAAAGAAGAATTCCTGAAAGTTACATTCTTTAAACCTAACCTAAAGCAATTTACAGTAAGATATTGTTAGTCCTGCTCACTCCTGCCACACTTCTCCATCTGGTGTTATACAAGATGAAGATGACCCAAGGGATGAGGTAAAAAAATCAAACATGTAATCATTTGCTTTTAATCATACTTAGATTTAAAATAATTCAAGACTACCATGTTGCAAAGCATCAATTGTTTACTTAATTCCTGAAACCTTTTGATAAAAGACCCATTCCACAGGCTTAGAATAGATGACTGATACATCAGCTTAAGCTTTGTAGGTAACTGCTTGCAGGATTAGCATTATTTAAAAAATTACAACAAAGAGCTTCCTTTCAATTGAATGCCTGTTGACTACTTTAAACAGAAGAAAAAAATTCACAGCTGTTAGATTTTACTCCAGTTTTTGTAAAGCCTTTATAAAGAGTAATTGAAACTTTCTCTCACAACAGATCACTTTCTTCAGCTCTAATTCTATCAGAATCTAAAATAAAATAAAAAATGACATAAAACCCAAAACCTTCTTGAAAGTAGGCAGACATTCCTGCATTCACTGTTTATTTCCACACTATTCCGTGTGTACTGTAAACAATTAGTAGAAAAACATTAAGAATATCTCCCTATTAGCTACTACAACCATTCTGTGTGTTTACTTTCTCACTTTCAGCCCTTTATGGTAAAAATGTCTATTCACTACTTTAAAAACACACAAACAACCAACAAACAATAAACACAAAGAAAAAAGAATTAAATTTGTCATCCGTTCCTTGGTTACTGAACACCTCTCCTTGTCAGTTGTGGGAATATTCTACCAAAAACCTAACCATGTTCCTCTGCATTAGGTAACAGCACTTGTTATTCTGAAGCCAGTGCTAAATTGTAGAAAGTCAAATTAGTCTCAGACTGCAAAATGCTGCTGAACACACCTCCTCAGTCTTAGTTTAAATTATTCAAATTTGAATTACTTTGTCTGTATTACTTCTAGCAACCAAGTTCTTTGGATTTCAAACAAGCTCCCTGAAGTACAGTTAGCACAATCAAAGTTACTCATTAGCAATACGCTTCCTTTGAACAAAGTTCTTTCACTAGCTTTTCTATAGCTAGTTAACAAGCTCTGCTATTCCTGGCTTTTTACAAGTGAATGGATGCCATCCAAACTAAACAGAGCACATCCTTTTTCCCACTCATTCAGCATTTTGAAAATCTTCCAGTTTGTGTTTACCCAGCTTACAAACAAATACTGATCAGACAAATGAGCCATTCAGGGTAATTACTAACTAAAAGAGTGAGTTTGCCTTGGGTGGCAAGGAAGAGGAGAAGGGGCCATCACCATAGCAGACTTTATCTTACCTTTGTCATAGTTGTATCATCCTTCCTGGGAGTAAAATTCTCAAAAAACCGAAGACTGTAGAAGCCGACGACAGAGGACACCATAAGATAGCTGTGAGAATCAAGGAAAAAGGGACCGCCAAGGAATGCACGTTTCACTCAAGTTCTCAGCAGACTCCTAAAAGTCTGCTTTTAAGAAGTGAAGGGAAAAAAAGAAAACCCACACACAAAAAAAAGCCCAGCAACAAAAAACAGAAACATGCTTGAGTGCTTGAGAAGGACTGGTCTGTCTCTCCCCATGCAAGTGTCTGAGTAAATTATCAATGTCCCTGAAAACTGGACAGAATACTTGTTAACAGACAGAATTCTTCAAGAAAGGATACAAAATCAAAATGATTTCAAGTGCTGCTCCCACAAAACCAAAGGTGGACAGGGATGCATTTCCTATTCCAGGCCCCTATAAGGAGAAAAGTATTTTGTATAATTTAGTAAGATACACGCAACTGTGTCATAAAGTTAACTTTTACCAGGACAGAAAAACCTAATGTCTTACATGAAGTAGTCTTTTCTCAATTCAGTGTTTAAGGGGCATTTTGCTGTTCTAACCTTCAAGTCTCCCATCCTATGCAATGGCATTAGCCAGCTTTCAAACCTGAGTGAAATGTATTACTAAGACAGAAGGTACAGTGATTCATATTTTACGCATACAGCATGCCACCATGCTACATTCCATACCTACTCCATTACTGTGGGAACTAAAATAAGTGGTTTCAAAAGGTAGCACTTCCAGTTGTTCACAATACACGGGCAGAGTGGCCATCACCGCTAGAAACCTTGTATAGCCCTGCAAACTCACATACAGTGATACACAAGGAAAAGCATTACTAAGTTAATACAAAAATCTTCATGATTAAAGACACTACAACTCCTCAGTGTGCTGTTCTTTACTTTCTTCAAGGACTTTTATAATAAAAGATGAGAAAATGTTGTATTTTAAGTGGAACACAAACCAAGATAAGCTTTTTGTATTCGTTTTTAACATAGTTTCTTAAATTGAACATTTCTTGTCCATAAAAATGTAGAAAACATGAAGAAAATGCAACTCCAGATTAATGATTTACTTTAGTGAATCACTGTATCTTCACTAAGATTCTGGACTAGTTTTATCAAGAACACACCATAACATGTCATGTAATAAATGTTTATGTGTGCACAAGGACAAAACCTAGAAGCAAAGTCAAGGCAGAGGCTCATTTGTTTCCACGTTATTAAAGCAGAAGTTCTCACTTGCACTTTCCTAAGGGCTCCAAAGCTTTACTAAAGTTATGAAAATCATACATAAAGTTTACTTTACCCCTGATCCCTTTGGCATTGCAGTCTCATCAACCAACAGGTAAAGAATGTTGAGAGCAACTAAGAGGACTGAGATGGACTGTAAGGAAGCATAAACAGTCTTGTTATTTAAAAGTATTCCACATTTTTAAAATGTATATATTTATCCTCACCAGATTTTGTAGTGTTAAGGTTTTAAAAAAAAAAAAAAAAAGGTTCAAGAGAAGAAAGTCAAATTTGTTGTTTAAACACACATTATTCAATTTCAAAACTATCCTCCCAGATGACAAAGAATTCTTCATACTTTTCATTGGGGAAAAAAAGGAAAAAAAGGCAAAAATTCTTACTGTCTCAATCAGTAGCAGTATCATAACAGCTGGATAGACTAAATTCCTTTCCCAAGCAGAAGCTTTTTTCCTCCTTTCTGTTCAGAGGAGAAAACACAGAAGCTTAATACTTGGAATAATACACATAAACATCACTCAGCTGTCTATAAGCACTTGTAACTACAGTTAAGAAAAGTAATCTTATCTTGAACTGATAGCAACCAGTTCAGAAAAATACCCACCCTGAAGAGCTGTACAAAGAAATGCCAAAAACATGAAGCCTCTTTAGAGAAAGGCTGGACAGACAGGGAGAAGGAGATTTTTTTTTTACTGTTTACAGGCATGTTTTACCACAGCACTTCCCCCCCTCTCCCCCTGCATGCAGCAGTTCTGCAAAGGTTAAAATATACCTAATGCTAAATTATGCTGTTTACATGTATATTCTAGTACAACCTAAGGGGACAGAAGATAATTTCAAATATTCAAACAGTATTTTCCTCTTACAACATAAGGCAAGACAGACAAGACTAACTCACTGCTCACCACTAGGTACATCTAAAAAGAAAACCCAACTTTTTCTTCCCAGTTTTAAGTTATCCCACCAAAGCCTGCAAACCTTTGAATAAATAAGGAGACTCCTGTCAAGCAGCTGCCATTACCAGAAGTATCGCTTTTCAGTTTTAAAAGACACAAACCTGCTAAGAATTATTTTACCGTTCTTCAAAACAACCTGACTTTTATAGAAGTAATTCAGAAACAGAGGAAAGTAACATCTTAGGTTATTTCAAATAATCATAAGTGTATCATTACAAGTATGAAAAAACATGCTATTGAGCTCCATGCAAGTAAGTGAGTATGTTACAATTTTTCTAAAGTTACGTTAAAAGTAAGATTCAATTCAGACTCCCTACTTCAATTTGTTTGTTAGAGGGGTGTAATGATTCCGTGTAATGCAATTGTAGAAACTATGATGATTTGAAAGGATTGCAAATGCACAAATTTGATTAAGAACAAAGTGGAATCGATCAAGTGAACTGCTACAAGCTAAACACAACATCTTAAGGTCACTTATTAAACCATAATCCACATGAAACAGTAGGAGGGAAAAAAGTGTATTACCTAGATTTGTTTTCCTGCTTTTCACCTTTTCAAGCTCCCATTCCAACTCTGCTGCCTGGTATTCCACCGTGGAAGATATACCTATTAACACAGAAGACAGAATTTTCTTTTGGATGAGACTAACTGTAGTACTGTAAAACAGACTGTGACAATTCAGATTTAGGAAGCATCACATAGAACACTTGTGGCTTTAAACTGTAGGTGTTTGAAACTCTTCAACTACTTTTCAAAACAGAGGCTTAGTCGAGAAACCTCTAAGTCTGCCTAACCAGAAGGGTTCAACACAGAGGTTTTGCAGCGTGACCTTCTTTGATCCCTGCCTATTCTGATGGCTGGCTGCTGCAAGAACTAAGACCAGCTACCGCTGAAATGCCACACAGGTCCAAAACCCTGTTATGGTGTGGCAGCCTGAAACTGGATTTCTCAAATGCCTCATTCTTCTATCTCTCGATGATTCATATATCAAGATGCAAAGAATCTCTCGATGTTCTTCAAGTGCATTATTATTATTTGGCAACTTGAAGACAAAGTGGACCATTGCTCCAAACTAAGTAAGCTGGTGACTAGACCTCCAGTTTCAGTTTGTGCCACTCCATCCCTTTCCCCAGTCCTTTTTCCCCAGCAAACTCAGTTTCCACATTGCTGACCGGCTTGTTGACTTATCTTCTTCTCATATCTGTTCACCCAACTTGGTCAGTCAGTCTTCACTACAGAGTTCCCTCTGACAACCACAATCAGATCTTCCTCACAACCACATGTGAGATCACATTCTTTCACTTCCTTTTTACAGTTCACAGCACAGACACATCCCTAATTGTGAAACTACTCAAACTCTCCTCTGCACCAGCTGAAAACTGACAACTGTAATATAAATTCCTCTCTCCCTTGCTGATTTTTGGCCTAAAAGCTGCTCAGCAACTCTTCCTCCTATCTGTATATGGGCTCTAGGAAATCCAGCCCATTTTCCCTCTCCATCCTTTTCCTTTTCTGCCTCCCATTCTCTTCCAATCACCCATTTTTTCCAGTGCAAGCACACTGTGGTTTCTCCCCTGGATTCCAGTTCCTATACAAACGTGCACAGTGTTGAAGTACTGATATAGCTCTGGAATGCTGATTAGAGATCTGCTGTTTCAGTTCTGATCTCATCATACTTTAACCTTTGCAATCACATACTGGAAATATTCTTCCCAGCATAAGTTAGAAACACTATCCTTTTGCCCTACTTTCATCCCTTGTTTCTGTATAATCTCACCTGACAATATGTTAAGAGGGCTCATATTTTCCCTGTCTGTTCCAAGACAGTCTCTCTCTGTGGCAGCGACAGTTCAAGGTCTTAATAAACCGTAAGTCCTGTTATCTTCTTTCTCCATTTACATTGATGCCCTTCACCTCATGACCATTCCCTACCTTTGACCTCACCTTTGACTGTGGGCTAACCTGTAATAGCACCATGCTCCCAGTACCTGTTTTAAATACACTCCAATAAATTTCTGAGACTCTTAGTCTTGTCCAGGCTTTTGTCTCGTATCTTCATCATCCACCTACAAGAACTAAACAGCACTCAGCCTACTGGCAGACTAACACTACTTTATATTCCAGTCTCATTATTTCCTCATTTTCTGTTGTCTGCTCATCCATCCAGCAATCTCAGTACAAGATAAGAAGGTAAATTTCTCATCCCATCCAGCTCCCACATTCTCCATGTTACAGCACAGTGAAGCCCGACCTGAAAACCTCAATATAGAAGAGTATTCCTTGAACTTAAAAAAAAAAAAACACAAATGTTTTATTCTTTTTATTTCAGAGTATTCCCACTGATTTTCTCAATGCAGACAAACTATAAATGAGGCATCCAGCTGTTTCAAAAACTGATTAAATGTTTAATTGCATGCTTCTTTCATACACAGTTTTGCACATAACACAACTGCTGTGCTATGCTTAAACATTCATTTTTTGTATCAGTGACAAAATGTGTATGATGCAATAGTTAGAGCTTCACATATATACATATCTCAAATTCCAGGACCAAGCAGCAAGACCTACAAATGCTGTTTTCTACAATTTCTATTCACTTGAAGTACCTGCAATATGAATGTCAGTTTAACGTCTGTGTATTTAAAATAAGTAATCATAATATGCAGGTTTTCAGAAAAAAAGATGGCTTTAAAGGATCTAATTATCATTATAAAAATAAGCTGATAAAAGTCTAAACGATCTATTTTATAGAATGATTAATTACTATAAGTTGAGAAAAAGGATAGCTATACAGCTCAGTGGGAAAAGTCTCAAAACCTTTAATAGAAGCAGCTGAAAAAGACAAAATACAAGTTAGCATCTTACATTTTCTTCTTCTACATAATTGATTTAACAGTCTCTGAGAAAATGCTTTATTGAAGATATATGTTGTTTCTAACCCTCACTATAAAAATCTAGAACTTAAACAACTGATATTCATGGGAGTATTTCCAACAAAGTCAGCACAATTACATTAGGTCCCTAAGAGATACGTCAATAGAAATTCTGAATCATATTTAAGTGCTGTTGTAGTTCCTCCTTAAAAATAGTAGCAAACAACAGATTGCTATACAAAAGGATATTTTACGACAGGGGAAGGCAAAGTTTCAGATCAGTCAAAAGAGTATTTGAAAAGGATGCAGCTAAATTCTTAAAAGCTCTATAACATTAGCTTTATTTCAAACATGCACAAAGTTCAATGTCAGCGCTGTCTAGCCAATAAATCAAATCAGTAGACAAGACTTGTTTGGACTAGCAATGAAAAGTTAGAAGGGATTCTCCAAGAAAGCCACAAAGCAGCTCATTTAAGGTCAATTTAACGGTATTATTCTGTTTTTCTTCCAGCCCTGACATAAGATTTCAGTACCTCAAAGGAAATTGTAAGAGTATCTATTTGCATTCCCCCTAGGTGATTGGCAGTTCAACACCAATTAGTTCAAAATTACACTGTTACTAGCGTGCAATAAAAACAACACCTTTCATCTTTCTTACATAGGTAAGGATACCTTCAGAGCCAATAACTTTGATCAAGTAAGTATTTTTGATCCTACCCCACCCGTCTCTTTGGATTCAGGAAAACTAATAGCTGAAGGCAACTTTTTTCTTTTAATATAAAAAAGTCCCAGCTTTATTCTTTGACTGTAGGAGTGATGTGGGTACTGAAATATAATACACTGGAAACAAACATTTTCCCAAAGCCCAGTGTATCTTCAACAGATAAAAATACTAGGGTAGATAACACAATCAAACTTTCCCCTCCCTCCTCCTCCAATTTTCAGTTATACACTGTAGACACCTGAGAAGGAAGAAAACTGGTTTCCGCAAAGAAGATAAGCAGTTTCACGGTTACATGTATTTTCAAATATGAAGAGCTTTACAGAATACTCTTTATCAACTGCATTAGAGTCACAATAGTTACACCTATATGAATCAAGAACGGCACCAGCTCACACAGCTTAACGTTTTTCCTCCTCTGAAAACAGGCTTATGTTAGCCCTTTCCCATGTCCAGACACTGTCTGAGGAAGCATTAATTATGCCTGGGTAAAGCAGTGCTAGGAGTGTGATAGCAATTATTCTACCAAGGGGAAAATAAAATAAACATCAGCATTGACAATCACAAAGTATCACTTATGCCTGTGCTCCGGTCCTCTTCAGTTTTAATAAAAAAAAAAACAAAATCAACTTTTGGCTTATACGTACAAATGCGGTATATATTTTAAAACACTTAACTGCAAAACTGCCTGGCAGGATCACTTAAGCACATGTGTTTCCACTACTACAACTATGGAAGAATTGCAACAGCCATGGCACAGGAAGCATATAGCCTAATGTACCTGCTCTGATAAAGCAACACAAATACTTGCACATTTGTGTGTTAAGTCACAGACTATGACCTCTAACATCACAGCACTACGTTTACCGATGCAATTAGCACAGCACCTCTAGTTGTACATATTTTATAAAGATGCAGGAAACATGATAAACATGAGTCTTCATCATTCTGGCAAAAACTGTCTATTTTTCTGGGTATAATTTGTACATATTAGAAAGACTTCTGACAGAGAAGATGAAACTTCACACTTAATTGAGAGCCATACTTGAAATTACTTAAATAATTACTCACAAAGATTTTGCAGAGTATATTCTTATGCACATAACATACTGCCCCTCACCTACAAACTATATCCAAGTTTAGATTATTATTTACTTTTCAGCTAGAGGCCATTAATCTTCTCCATACATCAAGCTATGGTTTTCCAAGCACTCCTTCCGACTGTGGTGTCAATACATTCCCTCAGCATGTGAAACAGAATTCAGTTCCCTTTCCCATCAAGGAACGTTTAAGCTCTGCGTCTTTCACCTCTCATGAGTAGGCTGGTGAGAGCTCTGTGAAAAATGGGCATGCTGCAGTTCCACTTTATGTTGAAAACGTTATCAATTCACTGAGAAAACCTAGTCTTTTGGCTAGTAGTGAGGAGAGCTACCTGCACACATCCTAAATCCAGACCCCATTAGTAAATGCCTGCAAACAGACTAGGTGTACCTCACAAGTAATATACTAAACTGCAATATAAACAACTGTCACAGACTTCCACGCAGAACAGCAGCAGGCACTTATCACCTAAATAATCACATTCTCCACCTGAACAGAGGAAACAACTCTGCACTACATTTAATAGATACAGAAAAGTGACCCAACAGTTATTCAGGTATTGCTTTTCCTGTACATAAGCACAACCACCATGACAACATAAAATATTCAGTAACAAATATTTTACAGTTGCTAGCTAACATCAAACACACAGAACAATAATTATACTCCACCACAGCTTCAAAGACATTCACTGTACACACTTTTTGTTATCTGTATGTGAATGCATATATATATATATCTCCATGTCAGTATGAAAACCTAAGCTCCTAAAACAGCAAAGGTGAACATTACTTCTACACAAAGAAGTCACTAGTCCTCCACAAATTTTAAACGCTGGAATAAAGACGACCACCACGATCTGCCGCTATAAAAGGTACTTTCCCTGACCAAGCAACTTCGAAAACAGATTTACTGAGACTTGAAAGAAGAAAAGATTGAGATATATGACAGAGGACTTAAGAGAGAAAGGCAGGAAATTGAGAAAATTAAGGCTAAAGTCATAAGACAACAATGGATGTAGTCACATCCAACAATGGATGTGTCATGACATGAATATCCTTTGGTTTTCCAACCTGAAGCAACTGTAATAAATTGTGACTAGATGGCTTATCTGTGCAGCTAAAAACAATTCAGAAGAGAATTTGTACAACATCATTTCCAGGTTTGTAGAATCAATATATTTTCTTGTAATTGCTGCCTGCCATGCCGCAATACGCTCTTAGAAACCAAAACTTCATACTATTTTTTAAGTACATCAAAACAGAAACACCTTAAGTACAGAACTGTAATACTACATACAAGAATTCTAAAACATTTGAATAATTATTCATTTTAATTATTCATAATAAAATTATTGAAATTCTTAAATTCAAATACTCATAGAATATAAAAAACTGCTCTGTTTAATGAATTACTACCTAAGATCCTAAATAATAATGAACTGAAAGAGAAAATATCCTCCAAATGAAAACCAAAACTCATAATGCAGTAAGTTGAACCTCTTGCTAACATAAATTCATTGTTCTTCAGATAAGGCTAAAATACAGTCATCTACCAATCCAAACTATTTTGCAATACAGGTGGTGGGTCTGGTCAACTACTCAATCTGCTTTCTCAGTCTCAGAATATTCACATATTAGAGCTCATGAACATATTAAACAAAACCAAATCAAACTACACAAGCCAATCTTGAACATCACAGTGAACAATGGAATGTAAGCCTAATAATGCTTGTTACACACTAAGATGCTAAGTTTCCTATTTTAAGAGAAGAGGCTATGCAACAGTGAGATCAATGCTCCTCATCAGAACCACTCTAGTCTAGACAGTGTATCTAAAGCAGTATCAGAACAAGCATACCATTAAGCCTCCTCTGAATTGCTTCTTCCTCCAAAGTGATGATGTACATCTGCTCATCTAGGTCTTCAAGGATCTGTATTAGTAAACAGAAACATGAACTGACTATCAGAGTCACTTGTTTAGAAAAAACTGCGGTCAACTAGTCAGGTTCATTCTGTTCTAGTAACCTGCATTTTAAATATACAGTCTACAACTCTGCAATACTGATACAAATAAGAACCACACAAAAGATTATTCTGTTCTATTACAGATCTATTACTTTATGGTAAGCAAACTTTTTTGTTAAGTTTTCATTTCAGGTTAAAGCTCTTTTATGTTCACTTTGAATCTGAAGACACTTAAGGAACAGGGAACGGACAGTACACCTGATCTTCCCCTGATACAGTCAAATCATATCAACCTTCACACTCAATTTGATTTAAACAAAAATACCTAGAGATTTTGAAAAAGTGTATTTTAAAAAGTGACTTTTCACATAAGTCAGTATTTCAAGCAAGTATGGATTTCTACTGGAAATTAAAACAAAATAAATAAAGTCTGTCTACCTTACTACCAGGTACTTTGAGTTTAAAGCTTACAGATAGCCAAACAATATGTATTTTCTTTGCATTTTCAGGGTTGAACTGACTAATGAAAAGGAATGCAAGACCTAAGTGCATCCAAATTTTAGCAAATACAAACTAAGAAATGTGACAGCAAAGTCACTAGAGCACTTGGACATGATGCAAACTTCTCCCTTCCCTCACAACATTCAGTATAAGAACTCAGTATAAGATCTTAAAGATGCTAACTACCCATCCAAGCGTACTCCCACATACCCTTTTTGTTATCCAGCCTTAGCTTTGTATCCTTTGCTTAGTTTTGTATCATTCGCTTCTGAACTCAGAACAAGCCCACATTTTCCAGGCATTTATAAAACAGGCACAGGAGGCAATACTGGCAATAAGTATTAATACTAGTAGCAGTTATATAAATTGGAAAATCAGAGGAAGCCTATACTATTAAAAAAAAAACTTTTTCTGTAGAAAAGAATAGGCTTTTGCGCTCTATGAAAATCTTTAAAGTACAGAAATACTGACTATAGAAACTCTGATGAACTGAAGAGAATTATGAAGAAGTGTAAGCACTTAAAAAGGAAATACCCTAATGCCATTCCACTTTCTAACAGAGAGCAAATGAGGACAGATTTGTGTAACACTTACTGTTGGCTTCACCAGCAACTGACCCATTACTGTAAACATCCGTGAAAGTCCCACTGGGGTGCATACTGAGGAGAAAAAAAGATCATTGTAAACAGCGATTTGTAAGTCAAGGACCAATTTTTATTTCGATGTTCAAAGTGCTATTCTACATATAATTGAGCACGGTTTTGAAGAGAACTGTAGGAGCTTCAAGCTCCAATATGAACATTAAACCACGCTGTTATCATACAAATTTTGAACAAGACAAGCATCTCTCCCCTGCAAGAGCATAATCGTGATTTTTTTTTCTTTTTGTAAACAAGGAACATCATCTAATCGGATATCTTGAACTTGCTCAAGTAATTATTTATTCAAAGCATGTGGCTTTGTCTACACTAGTAAATTCAGCAGTGCCAGGATACATTCCTGGGCATTAAGACTCGCTTGCCTATACCAGTAAATTGCTAGAACTATCCATGGCATGAGATGCCCTGGGCCAGTTAGTTAGCACTTTCCCAAACAGTTCTCACATGCAGTTCTAGAGCTCCTGCAGTCCACGAACCATTATCAGGAAGCGATACCCACAGAGCCACCTACTGCATACTGCAATATCATGGACAGAAAGACACTAGCTGGCCAGAGCACTGGAGACCATTGAAGACCCATTTAATCTATTGGCACAGGTGTACCTCTGAGGTCAAGAGATCATGATGCTGCTTTGCTACCTAAGTTGTAGTGCAACTCCAGTTGATAGCAGACTCAGCCACCAGATTTTAAGCTATTTTTCTTTAAAATAACAATGGGCCATTTTTGATCATAGCCTGTGACTGTTTCCAGTTATAGTGCACGTGTGCTTGCTGGGAGGAAGGCTCAAACCATGATAATAGGAAATTATTAGTAAAAACCAACAGTTTCAGGAGAACAACCTTCGAATACTAAAGTGTGTGAGAGACAGAATGAATTTGTAATAGCATGGATGAGAATATATATTTATGTTTCCATTATAGCAGAACACAGTTGCCAAATACAGAGAAGCACATAAGATTTCATAGGGAGGACCAAATTTATTTTTAAATGGTGTTTCCCTATGGCTACTATGTACTACAGGAAAAATAAAAAAGGCTAAGTTGAGATAGTCTTCATTCACAACAAAGGAAGCCTGCAGGAAAAGGAAAAAAAGAGAATGGAAGTGATGCTCCAAATCACCACAGCAATATTCATACACCACTTCATCAACTAAGCCAGATGAAGACATAAGGAAGCTTTACTCCAGCCATCTACCACCTTCCCACTGTTGTATGATGTCTTTTCAGCTAAACTGACAATGCAGCTTGGAGCATCTTTACTTCAGTGATTTGCTCGTGCAAGTTACAAATAATTCTTCCAAAAATTGGTATTTAAACCCAATTATTCTGGTGAACTGGTTTACAACAGCCCCAGAACACACCCTGTGTTTTCAGCTGTACCAAAACAAGCAAGAGACAAGAGATACAAAGTCTGCAAGCAAACTGCCCCATTAAAATCATTCAGCAACTGCTGTGACTCACTCTTCAATAGCTTACAGGAGACACCCAAAACCACTTTTTTTTTTCCCCCTTAACCCACACCCCCTCCCTCCAAATAGTTAAACTTGATTTAAGAATCTCCACATAGAGAGAACCTGAGGAGACTCACCAAGGTCTCTATGAGCAACACCTTTCACAAACAGATCTGCTTAGTCTTAAGGATGTTTTGAACTATCATTCCCCGCAGTGACAACCCTGTGCTCACTGTAAACCTATCAAGCCTAGAGAACAAATGAAATCAGGATCTGGAAAGGGATATGTTCTGTCCTCCTCACAGCAATTTCCTAGAAATTACCTGGGGAGGGCAGATGGGGAATGAAATTACAAGTGGGATTTGGAGGCTTTCATCATTTATCTTATTCCCCTAAACACAGAATATCACAGAACCAACTAGGTTGGAAAAGACTTTCAAGATCACCAAGTCCAACCACCACCCCAGGACTGTCAAGTCCACCACTAAATCACATCACTAAGGTCCTCATCTACATGTTTTTTGAATATGGATGACTGAACCTTTGCTACAACCAGTCAGTATAAGGTTGGGTTTTTTACTGCATTTCCTTTATATGCAAATATATAACTGACCTCCAGATAGCTTTCATAATCAAAAAATAGGTAACTGCACTGTTCCAACTTCTGTCTATACAAGAACATTTTCAATTAAATAAGGAAGAAGGGTAGCTTACTTAATATAGGACAAATTAAATGCTCCAAAAATAACTTCCTCTCTGTACTACTGACCTCCTGGAGATATATTTAAAAACTGTGCTTTTCTTTGCAGAACAGAGGCCCCATTTTTCAAATACCTTTAAAAAGTTAAAAGTTGAAATTATTTTGGGTAAGGTGTGCAGTTCCTCAGAACCTGAATATGTAAGGTAGCATTTGCTCAAACTTCAGAACCCAAACCTAACAAATTTACATCTCAATTTAAACTTAAAAATGGAGGGGGATGGGGGTGGGGGGTGGAAATCACACTCAGCTTCCACAATACTGATTTTCATAATGAAAATGTTTCCTTTAATCTTTAAAAAAAAAAAAAAAAAAGAAAACACACCATAAAATCATTCATCTTTTGGAATAATCTGTAAAATACTTACACAGAAGTAACAAGCATCCCATCAGTGATATACAGGAATATAAATATGGGAGGTAGAATTCCCAGAGATCTGTAAAGAAAATATTCAGCACAGCCTTAGCTTATTACAAATAGGCTACTTATGTCACAAACACTACTGAATTCACCTTTTTTCTTAAGCATTCAGTACTGAACAACTGTACTTTCAAGAATAAGTCGAGAATCACTGAGTTAATAATCCTGCAGGCAACTAAATCCCCATGTACTTTAGCTTGAAAAATCACTTACATGGAAAAATATACTACTTAAGTCTCTTGTTTTTAATATATACCATGTCCACATGTAACTCCTCAGCATGTTAAAAACTGATTTAACAGAACAATCCTATTGACTAAATTAATACAGCTTCATCACAACCTGTGCAACACTCACATAGCATTTACTAGAAATACATTTAATTGAAAACATACATTTCCATAATTAAAATGAAATTAGTGTGGTGTTTTTTTAATTCCATACCATACAAAGACTCCATACTGGCAGCATCATTGTCTATGAGTGCTGAAGCCACCCATACGATTCCAAGGATAAGCAGTGCAAGAAGAATAAGCATTACAAGGGTTTCCAAAATGCGTGCTCTGATGCCCTATGGGCAGAAAAGGGGAGAGGGAGGAAAGAACACAGGCAAGAAATTTACACCAGATATTTTCAAATACAAGAAAAATAAATAAATAACAGTTCCTTCTTCCTAAATACATACTCACATTTTCTCAGGTAGACAAGGGAGACAAAAGCATAACATGTAATGCACATTTAAAAGGCATTGCATTAAAAAAAAAAAGGAAGTACTTATGGCTTTAAAGAGCCCAGACTGCGTTCTTCCCCTTAAAACCATAGAAAAATGTTTTAAATTGCATATGTCTTACAGTTCTCATTAATCTCGTTATTCAATAACATATTCTTTATACCATATGATTTTGCTCAAGCATTTTTAAAAGATGGATTACTTTTCTAATACTTTCAGCAAAGAAAGTGGATTAGCAAATTTTTATCTATGATTCCAATCAAGGGAATGGAAAGCCAATTATGGCAAATAGCCAAATGGCCCAGCGAGCATTAAACCCCGCGCAGGTACAAAGCACCAATTTAGTTAAAATACATTCTTCAACCGCAATTGCTTCTGCACCATTCCTCTCAGTCTTCAGAGCCCTCAAGTGTACGATCGGAGAAGTGCTCGCATGCTGCAGCACCTGCTGCAGCCACATCCTTTTACCTCCTATCTCTGCATGCTCCGCGCAGAATGAAACACGTACTTCTTCCTTACACCACAAGCACATCAGAGGTCTACAAGGTTATATAGCACAGCATTTGCTTTTGAGTCTAAAAATGTAAACAACCCTCTAATAGTTGAGGGTTAGATTTGCAAATGTAAATATATCAAGTAATATACAAAATCTATTTTTTTTTCTTTTTTAAACTGGTGCTCTAACACCGATTTTAGTAATTGCAAGCAACAGAGCTACTGGGACACTTACTTCTGACATCCTTACCAGTAAGGGACCAGCACAACAATTTTACTTTCATTTTTATTCATTTGCCAATATACTTCTCCACAAGCAAACCCACTCTCATTTCTCACACAGGCTCACCCCACTTGGGCATATTTCACTGAAAAGTCTACTTTGTAGGTAGAAGCAGAAAACATGGTTTATTGTATTACCTACTTTTATTATGTCTTCCCTCATTGCTTAAACCAAGAGGGTAATCTTTACATGATATCCACCCTGAAAATTATTCTTCCTACATAACCACTGCATCCAACCACGACTGAAGACCTCGGACATCCTAACCATGTGCACTGATCTCATCTAGCATACAAGAGTCCCTTTCAATCACCAGTCCTCTGCAGAACAGCTAAGATAGTACAAGAAAAACAGACAAAGAGAGAAATTCACAAAATTCCTCTTAAGGCTTAAATGGGCAGATTAAGTCCAGCTCCATAAAGAATCTCGAACACCAGAACTCAAATTAAAGGTAGTATGGATAGGATATGGCTTTACTCCTAAAATGTATTTTGTGTATAGTAACAGTGGCTTTGAAGTAAGTTATTAAAATGATATTTTTTTCATGCTCAGACACTGGTTTTCAGCCTTCTGTGAGTTATTTTGAAGATGAGCATCTAAGATAAATATAGGCATTTAAAGATTAAATAGCCATATATTTAATACTGAAGTTTTGAACCTGAGCAATAAGTTACCAGGAAACAAACAGATTCCAGTCCAAGTAGTGAGCATTGATAAAGTCTCACTTTACCACGGAAGAAAGTCACAGGATTAGAAGAAAACCCAGAAAATTCAAGGAGGCATTCACAGAGATCTGCTTCAAGGTTTCTAAACACCTTGAAGACTCTTTTCCTCTCCTAGGCAGAGGAAAACATAAAGCTATCTTCTGAGCTTCTGAAAGGCTTAGCCACAAAAGTGGATTCCTTACTTCCCTACTGTAAGGCATAAGCACAAATCTCAGTCTCTCTGACTTAACAGCAAGAGATTCTTCTAGACAAACCTGGAAAATATTTTACACAGCAACCCGACCACCAAATCCTCCTCCCTTGGATGGAGTATTACAATTGTCAAAACAGATACAGAAATACACTGTGATGGACATAATCAATGTAAGTATCATTTTTTCATATTTACTGCAAGTGTTCTCTGCAGACACAAGATTAATTCAAATACAAATAATACCCAATCTCAAAAAAAAAAGAAAAATGACCAAAGCAAGTACTTCGAGGTAACCACTGCTTCTGGCCAAAGTACCACTAGCACAAAGTCCAGCAAAAGCCAGTTAGCTGCCTAACGAGACTTCCCTGATTTTTGGTTTCTATGCTAGTTTGAATCTTTCATTCTCAGAAAATTGGATCAATCATTTTCTGTTCTCACTAGCTACACCTATTTCTGCACCTGTGTTATACACCAACACTACTGCAGTCTCATGTATGTACTGACAGTTCATTTCAAGGGCAGAACAATTTTTCTATTACATAGCACACACATAACAGGATTCACACCATGATGATCATCAAAATATAGCAAAATATAAATATTTTTAAGAACTTCAGTGAACTGACTAGATAGAAATATTCTGTCATAGGCACTAATGAATACCTGATAATGGTCCAGGATAGAAAAAAGAACCTAAGATGCTTGAAGCATATAGGTAAATACTTAACCTCTATTAGACACCCATAAGGCTGTGCTTATTAAAACATTAATGATTCAGGCACATTAGTTCATACTTACATACATGAGTGTCTCTGTCAAGTAACTGCTTTTTGTAAGGAATGAAAGATGCAGAATTTTCACATACACACAGGTAACTTTTGGAGAATCATAGAACGGCTGAGGTTGGCATGGACATATGGAGGTTATCTGGTCCAACCACCCTGCTCAACCAGGACTGGTTGCCCAGACAGCTTTTGAGAAGCTCCAAGAATGGAGATTCAACAACCACCCTGGGCAACCTGAGCTAACACTCAGGCACCCTCACAGTGAAAAAAAACAGCAGGTGAGCCTTAGACACCCTCACTACTACTTATTTTTTGCTGAAAGTAGTTTGTTTGTTTAGGCAAAAATTTAAAACTTGAACATTATCATTAGTAACATCACTAATTTAAGAGCCAGGCAAAAATCTATACTCCTGACTTTGAAAACAGAGGGGGAAAAGAACAGGTAAATACAAGCAAAATTTCATTTTATTTCAGTAAAAGCAAAACTATGAAAATAAAGCTTGAAATTCAATGCTTATTTTTTCTGAGCAAAAGCCTGTTCACTGACATTTTGGTTTTGGCTTAGCATTTCTTTTTTGAGTCATTTCACTTCTCTCCCACAGCCCCATTATATTACTCAGATTTCCTAGATGAACAAAATGTCATGGCATATTCTCATGGCACAGAAGATATTGCCATTTCTATTTCACATAATATTTGCTGCATTTTTTTAATCCATTTACTCTGCTTTTTTCTGCATGAAAAGGTGCTTTAGAGTCTGACACCTTCAAAAACAGCAACAATCCCACCTAAAACTGGTGATTTCAGATCAGCTTGGAAGAGTATATTTATTGTTCATGTTCAGCCTACACGATCATATCTGTCTCAAGTAAGGAATTAAAAAACGAGTGCAATACAAAAAAAAAACATGTGGTCCAGGTAAATAGGACTACTTTAAATCAGCACTCTAACTGAGCAAGGAAAACCAGTCATACAGCACTAAAACTTACTGTCAAAAGAGTGACTGCATTTGAATCACTTGGAAGAGTTCTTTGATTTCTAATCATCTGTGCACAACTTTAAACAAAGGAAACCTTTAGCACACGAATGAAGGAGGTGGCTGCTCAGCAAGTTAAGTGTGTGTGCACGTGCCTATGTATGTACAAATACAGGGGCAGGTAAGGAGAAGGGGGCAACAGTCACCCTTTACATTAGTTTTCCAGCTTGACTGGTTCATTGGGAGAAAATGCCTCATGAGCTCTTATGATCACCGTTGAACATTCCTATGGAAACTGAACCGACTATAAGAAAGAAGAGTGGGAAAACATTTTGTATTTTTAGCTTTCCATATTGTTTTTTTTTTTAAATTCAGTTGTTTAAGTATTCATCTGGTCTTCTTTTCCTAATGGTTCTGACAGGTAAGAACAAGGAAAGTAAGCACTATAAACCAGCAGCTTGCATCAGGGTTTTCATAAAGTTATCCTAGAGCTCAACTTTCCAAACTACATTCGGTAACAAATACTATTTCATTCTGAAGGTGTCTTTCATTATGAACAGACTGCATATATCCCAATTAATTCATTATCTTATGAATTATTTTAATGCAATTCCACTTACAGTGTAACCCGTTATAAGGGAGGAGGAATTTATTTATCCCCAAACCAAGCATAGATTGCACAGTAAAGCACCAGAAGGAGACCTCCAGGATATTGATACAGTGAGGAAAAGACTGGTTTGCATCTATCATATGTTGTAGCATTTAAGGGAGAATTCAAACATAAGATACAGACTGAAACAAATAATGTCTATACAGCTTTTTAAGGGGGAGCATAAGGAGAACCACCTTGAGCCCACTACCAATTCAAATATCAAACTCTGATTTCAGTACAGCATCAACCATACAGTCTTAAATAAAGCTCCCATGCTGTAGACTTCAGAGATGAACACAACCATAGCCCTTGGAAAGAATTAAAAATGTTTCCCTCCACATCAGACTAAATTGTGCTGCTTTTAAATACAGTGAGAAGACAACTCTAAATGAGAGGAGTGAGCTCAAGCAATACCCTTGCTTTATTTTCAGTAAGACAAGCTGAACCCTGCAGTACTTCTAGTAGCATGTCAATTTCAAGGTCAAATCCCTTAATTTCTCTTAGGCCATTTACTGCTGGGATGCTGGTTAAATTGGAGAGGTAACCTAGAAAACAAAACCATGCACACCAACATTTTAAAATCTTTTTTACAATGCTAGGTATCTGATATCAAAAAGCAAATCACAAACTACACAAAGTGTAACTGAACCTGAAGTTATGAAATTAAATAGAGAATAAAAATACACGTTAAAGTGGTGGGTTTTCATACTTTCGCTGCTACACAGTAAGAAT